TGCTTAATTATCGATATTGATGCAAGGCAAAAGCACGATCCTACAAATCCTAAAGTGCCTTCTTTAGATGGTGAAAAAATTACCCAAGAAGATTTAATATCTCGAATTTTAGTTGCTTGTGCAGATGCATTAAGCCTTATTCCTGATTGTATGCCTTTCTTAAATTCTTTTTCCTTAGCTAGTTCATCAAACGCTGAGAAATGCAGTTAGCATATTATTTATCCTCGGGCCTAATTCATAGATTATAGAGAACTTAAGGGTTTTACAGAAAAAGTTATGGAATTGGTTAGGAAACCTTATTCAAAATTTATTGATATTGGCTTTCCCAAATCACGTTTTAGTTTTCGACTTCTTGGATTAGCAAAAGAGGGACGCATAAAAAGATCTGCTATCTCTTCTATAAATAAGGGATTTAAAAATTTAGATGATTACCTGGTTCAGCCTAAAGAAAATTATTCTGTAATCTGGCCACAAACCTTTTCTTCTGAGGAGCCAGTAAAAGAATCCCAACCTATCAATGATGACAATGCCTTGGTTAAAGGGGCTAATATAGTCATTGAAAAATATGGATGGCTTCAGATTAGAAGGATCGAGAAGGGATTCATCAATTTTCAAGCACAATCAGTTAAAGAATGTCCTATATATGATGTTAAACATGATAAGGATCAACTCTATGGATTTATTCGAAAAAATAGGCATTTTATACTCAAGTGCTATCAGCAAAAACAGTACAAACTGGATCACAAGGGTCTTAGCTTCGATAAGGTATCAGACAAAGTTGAGTTGAAAGAGAAACCTAAATTAGGATTAAGTGAAAGAATCACTAATGCTGTATTAAATCCACATTCACTTTCTGAATTACATGGAGAAGTTATTAATGTTAAAAAGTTAAAAGATACTCCTGAGTCATATCCCGATTTCTTAAGTACTGAAAAAACAGCAACTCTTATTCGTTCATCCCCAGCAACATGGAAAACTACCACCCTAAGAGAAATTATTATGGCTTCAAAATCTAAGGTAAATAATACTTCCTCATTACCGTGTTATATCTGGATCTCTTATCAAAAATCTCTTAGTAATGAATCAAAAACAAAACTTGATGAGTTAAGAGCATCAGAATTCCGAATCTGCAATTATCAGAATGTGCAAGGAGACTTATCTATAAACGAGTGAGACATTATTATAGTACAAGTCGAGAGTCTTTTCTACATTAAATTTACAACTTGACTATTTGTAGCTATTCTGGATGAGATTAATGCGATTATGCGACAAATGAATAGTAGTACAAATGCACGAGAATCTGAGAACGCAATGCGTGATGTATTAAGATCAGCTCAGCATATTTTAGCAATGGATGCATTTGCAAACGAAAGTACACTAACCTTCCTTAAGGCTTATTGTAGTGAAAATGTCCGAGTAGTCGATAATAAGTATCAGCCTTGTATAGGTGAAACAGTTGAAATTATCTACGATCCAAATAGTGGGGCTGAAGCTATGCGAATAGGATATGGATTTTTGAAGCAGGGAAAACATGTAGCTTTTGTATCAACTGGGGTAGTAATGGCTAGAGCATTAGTAGAAAGAGCATCTAAATTAACAAAACCAGATAACTCACCTATCAAAGCCTGTGCTTATTATGGAGATATGGATAGAAAACAACGTCAAGAGGATTTTTCTGATATCAATACTGCTTGAGGTGAACTTGACTGTATAGCTTATACAAATACAGTAGAAGCAGGTATATCTTTTGAGGTTACAGGTCATTTTGATATAGTTATAGCTATCACGAATATCGCAACTCCGGTTCACATTGAAGCACTTGCCCAAATACTTTATTGAATCCGTGATTATCCTCGTCGCATTGTTTCAGTGTTCTATCAAAAAAATTCTAATGAGCTTTTTCTTCCCCTAGGTCATGAAAATATTCGTGCAGAACTTGCGAGTGCTTGACCCAATGAGGTACCTATAGCAATAAAAAGACACCGTGAATGGGATAAAGATATTGTTTCTTATAAACTTGATGATTCTCCAGCTGTGGTAGCATTTATTGAAGTTGAACACCAAAAACATTTTTCTGCAAGAAATTTTATTGAGAAGTTTTGTAGTCTCATAGCCAGTACAGGTGCAAATCTTCAACTAATAAAAATAGACGAGGGCCAGGGAATTATAGGAAATCGTAAAAAAATTCGAAATTAGGTTAGAGCTAAAGCATTGGACATTAAAGAAACAGACTTTAGTGCAATTGCTACTGCTCGGAATCTTAGCTCTGAAGAAGCAAAGTTTCTCAAGCTTGATCAAGAATGTTCTGTTGAAGATACAATGGCGCTTAAGCGTTTTTATATATGAAGCCTTTATGGTGGAAAGGATATGAGTATTGATGATTGGAATAAACTCTGCAACAAAGAATTTGTAGAACACTTTGGTCTACCTGAGCCTCGAAAGCATTTCTTACAACTTTCTCAATTCCGAAGACAGAGTTACGATGAAGAGAGTGCAATAGAAGGCTCAAAAAACAAAGACATTGCACAATGGGAAGATACCTGTTATAAAGCTAAAGAGAATTTTGAGGATTCAGTAGCAAAGGATTTGCGCAAAACATACTCAGCGAATCATTGGGAAGCTATACGAGGGCTTTTCCAATCACTCAGTTTTACGGGTATAGATGATAAGCAAATTCTCTCTGATGATCAAGTAAAAGTTGCATTTGAAGTATCTCGTGAAAGATTTATAGAAATTCGAAATCAATCTTTATTACTCTTTGGCTTTAAATCTCGTGCAAAAGAAATACCAGATCTTAATTCAGCTATAAAGACAATCAATGCAATTGTTAGCAATTGGTGTGGCTATACTATAAAAAGTAAACAAAAATTAGTAGGATCTAAAGGATAACAAATTTGGAAGTATTCATACCAAATTAATCGAAATTCCTATAAAAAACGTGGTTTTGATAATCAAGAAAAAATAACAGCTATAAAGGTGAATAATCCCAAATATCTCCCTATAAATCCAGTTCTTCCATCGTATAAGTAAAAGATAAATAATGAGATTCAGGATCTTTTTGATTCTGTACCTATTACTAATAACATTACTTCAGATTATACAGAGCGTGAAGTTTCTAACTTATCTATTAATGCGATTAATGAAAAAGCTTTATCTTTAGAAATGCCAGCTCGAGATCAATCAATTGATTCAAATAAAATAAGTAAACATGGAGAGTATCATACTCAAGATATATGTCATGCCAATGCTACTATTGATGAAGCTAGTATAGTTAAGAAAAAAATACCCAAATCCTTAACTTCTTTATCTTTAGAATTTCTCATTAAAAATGAATCTAATATAGATATGCTTATCTTCCATTTACAACAAAAATTTCAAATGTCTCAAGAAAAGCTAGAGTAATGGAGAACCAAGATTGCCTTTGAAATGCGGGATAATTATAATTACTGGAAAAAAGAGCGTGAGAGTATAGATGAGGCAGATTTTTTGGAATACAAGCAGAAGTTTGAGACTAAATTGGGTATTCCTACTACTCCGCACAAAAAAGAACTGAAAAATAAATCTTTAGCAATCATTGAATATGCATAATTCTTATATATCTTTCAACAAGCAGGTACAAGGTATCAAGGCAATATTATCTAGTTAAGTAGTAATTTTGGAAGAAGAGAGATTGCTACATGTAACTAGTCATTCATCTCAGGTAAAGAGATTTTTGTCGCCTCTTACAATAAATAAGAGAAAAAATTCAAATTAAAAATTAATACAAAGCATAGAGTAAGTAGCCGATAACCATTTTTGGGTCATGGTAGATAGATCTCTCACCTAATTTACATGC